TGTAAAATTTGTGCCAATCTGTAGCATAACTACCAAGTTTGTACAGTATTTGCATGTGTAATGCAGTACATTGCACTTGCAAAGGGAGGGGAGGGAGGTGTGAGGGAGGTAGAAGCAGAGGAGTATGGCTGTTCACCTGTCCTATAGCTTGGGGGAAAAAACCTGGTGGTTCTACACTTCACAGTGAGAGTCCATGTTAGGCACGAGTGCAGTCTTTTATAATGTTGTTGTTTTAGTTCAGTGTGTGGACCCAGATGCACAAAACAAAGCAGGAGGCAGATTTGACAGAATTATTTAATCATTACAGTTTTGAAGATGGGTTGAGTAAGTGGGGCCGGCAGAGGAAGCGTGGGAGAGCTGGTTGCAGGCAAGCAGGCTGATCGGCATCCTGAGACACAAGGAAACACAGGTTAAGGCATGAAACTCAAAGAAATTAAGTACTAAAGACCAAACTGAAGACTGAGTTCACGGTGAGAGTAGCTATCACTGAGGTTGAACATAACGATCTGACACTGGGTGTGTGTAGAGCTGGGGCTGAAGCAGTGCACTCTGACTAGCTGATGCAAGGCAGGTGTGCAGATGAACAGAACCAGGAAGGGAGACCACACCCACAAACATTCACAAGGACAGACGATACTGAGTACAGGGGCGGCTGTGGTTCAGAGGCAGAGTGGGTCGTCCACTAATCAGAAGGTTGTTAGTTTGATCCCCGGCTTCTCCTGCCAAGTGTTAGCGCTATACAAGTACAGGTCCATTTACCATTTACTGGAAACACGGAAAGAGAAAACACCAGGGTATGGCCGTGGACATGACAGTTGTGAGTCTTCATGGTGACATTTCTGAATTTCCTAATTCTCAGGAAGTTAAGCTTATAGGTCCAGGTAATGTCTTCAAGAATTTAAAGATGTTCCCCCTCTCCACCTCAGACTACTACTACTTACAAATAAAACTGCAAGCTTTCCATGTTGTAACTGTCTTCTGATACTGACACAAATGCATGTAAGCATAGAGACATGAATGTCCCATGCAAACACAGCAGCAACATCAATCAGATTAATGCATAAACATAAGCAAACATAAAAACAGTCAGATGGAGTGTGATATTGAACGTGACCCACTGCATTCACATCAGTCCCTTTACATTCTATTATATGCATGGCACACCACAGTCATTGGGAGGTAAACAATGACATTACATGAGAGGGAAGCAGGAACCACCTCAGGCTACACTGTCAGGGATGTCAACAACTGTACGGTACTGTACATACAGAAACAAACAAGCACACCGTATGTGGATGTATGTTAACCATTTAATGTATAGGATATGGATATCCTTGCAATATGGGTCAAATGCAGGGACTCATCACAGCTAAAGCTGCTTGTTGTATAGACATTCTCTTCCATGACAGGAAGAATAATAATTACTCCTCCTTTTTTTTTTAGTACAGTAACTCTTGATTTGCTCTCACATGAATTTAAAAATAAAATGGGATTTCTATTTCTCTTCCTGATTATTTCTTCCAGACTCTTATGAAAGGTGTTTCTAACGGGAACTGTTGTTACTAGTTAATCCTAGCCAATATATGAAAGATATAATTCAAAACAAGGTGTCCTCATATATGAAAAGTCTTCAATATCCCAAATTTCTCTTAGAAATTATGCTTATTATGGAGCCAGAACAGTGACATTCAATTTTGCCATTGAAAATAAAATTTGGTATTAAAACCCTAACTGAAAAAAATGGCATTGAAATCCTTTGAATTGGAAAAATAAATGTATTGGCTAGAAAAAGTTCCATTGAAAATTAAAACACAGACTATTTCAATTTATTTTGATATTTTTTGTATTCTGATGTGTCTTTCAGTGACAATCTTTTCTTTCAATTTCAGTGTCTCTGGTTTTCTCATATAATCTGTATACTAAGCAGAATCAGTTTTCTAGACCTGCAGACCGTTCCTGAACCATGACCACTCATCCAGCATACACAGTAATGGTTTCCAGTTCACCTGGAACTCCCAATCTGTTCTCTCTGCAACAGCAAATACGTTTTGAAGGAAACATGATGTCACTCAGAGTTTGGAGAGAAGGACAGCATATAATTAGTGGACAGAGCTTCCGGGCTGTGAAATGAAGCTAAGGCGGAATGGTCTTAAACCTGTGTTTTTTCTGATGGCCAGCAGGGGGCTGCAAAAAAGAAGTCTGACAGAACCTAAAGTCTTATGGAAAAATGAGCCGACTTGATTAATTAGCTCAGTAAACAGTTTCCTAATGAGTTTATGATCTCAATCTCTAGATCCAGTCTAGCTACCTTGTGATTGACAGGTCATTCTTCAGTGAGTCCGTCCAGCTCAACGCACCAAACTCAGATCAAACTGTCAAACAGCGCTGATCAGATATGGATCCAGATTCTATTTCTCTCCTCAAATCTGTTCACAAACACATTTTACTGTTTATCTGGAATATGATCACCTCCGCTGGCTCCGACAAACTGTCATGGCGACGACTATAACTCTAGGATTCAAAACAATACTCCACAAACCAATGGGTGACGTCACGATGGGTT